GTTCAGGTGCTGAAGAGCCAGCTGACGGAGAAAGACAGAAAGATACAGCATCTGGAGGTCAGAAACACACACACACACACACACACTGTGACCGTGTCTGACTGTAGTCATGTTGATCTCGTGCTCGTCTCCGTGTGTTTTCAGCATGATTTCGAGAGGGCGCGCTCCAGACGCGACCAGGAGGAGAAGCTCATCATCTCAGCCTGGTACAACATGGTGAGGAAACTGCAGGAACATGTCAGATCAGTCTGAACAACACGCTGTCAAATGCTGCAGAAAATTATTTATCCATCCGTGTGTGTAAATAAACACTAAACACGTTTACAGTAAATGCGCGCACACAGTGGAAGTCATTCACACCAGGGGGGTTCAAAGCTGAAATAGCAGTGTCATGTAGTTGGGTATGATAATACATTAATAATAATAATAAAATAAAATAAAAAATTAAGGAATGACAGTTTTTCTTCTGATGTGTTAATTTTAACAGTAAACCTCTGTTGTACAGTATTTTGCCATAAAAATTAAACAGAATAAAATTTGTTTTAAAACAGAATAAAAAAAAAATGGGGTTCTATTATTGTAAAAAAAAAAAAAAATAATGCGCGCACACAGTGGAAGTCATTCACACCAGGGGGGTTCAAAGCTGAAATAGCAGTGTCATGTAGTTGGGTATGATAATACATTAATAATAATAATAAAATAAAATAAAAAATTAAGGAATGACAGTTTTTCTTCTGATGTGTTAATTTTAACAGTAAACCTCTGTTGTACAGTATTTTGCCATAAAAATTAAACCGAATAAAATTTGTTTTAAAACAGAATTAAAAAAAAATGGGGTTCTATTATTGTAAAAAAAATATATATATTATTAATTGTTAAACTTTTATAAATTAAATTGATTAGACGTGCTTTTTAATTATTAACCAACAGAATCAAGGAAAATTAAAATGAAAAACAGAATTTGGGGAAAATAAAATAAAATTTCATATAGGGCTGCACGATTAATCGAATGCTATTGTCATGCGCATCTCGTCAGTAAAGCCGGTTCTGTGATTAGTAGTAAATCTCCAGCACGTGCTTTCAGATGGAGCAGCATTTACTACACAGAGCTGTAGTTCACTGACAAGCTACGCAAAATCACGTTCATAATCGCAGACGATTTAATCGCACGATTATGAAATAGAAGAAATCGTTCTGCGATTATGAAAACCGTTTGCGTAGCTTCTCAGTGCACTACGGCTCTGTGTAGCAAATGCTGCTCCATCTGAAAGCACGTGAAAATACAACATTTAATAACATGTTTTTACTCCAAACTCACTTCAAAATGTCAGTCGAGTGTAAAGTAAATCCTTCTGTGAGATGATGTGGCATCTTACACAGAATAAGACACGCAACATATTTCATAGTATTCTAAGCAGTGATAAAGGTTGTGTCGATTAGCATTGCATTATTATAAAATTATAATAGGACGAACTCCGATAAACCATATATTGTTGTGGGTGTATTAGTCATGCTGAATTAATGAAAGCAGTTAAATCTTCTGTTTATTCAGCAACCGCTTTAGGTCCTGGGTTTCTTCTGCGAGGCGTATTTGGAGTTTCAGCGCGAGAGCGCCCTCTGGCCTTCGGATGGAGGCGTATCACTGAAAGATACGCATGACAATCACAGCTTCTGCCTAATCGCGATTTATTGCCTTTGTGATTTAATTTCGATTAATCGTGCAGCCCTAATTTCATAGGGCCCTAAAAATGTAATGTTTGTTAAATTTTAATGTGTTAACATGTTTTTGTATTCCACCATTAAAATGGAATTCCGAAAACTTAAAACAGAAAAAAAATAAAGAATTCTGAAAGAAAAAAAAAGAAAAAAATTTGGAAAAAATAAAACCCATTTTGTAGGGCTCTAAAAAAAAATTTTCTTAAAACTTTTATATTGTAATTCAATTGTATATGTTTTGTGATTACAATTAATTATTATTTTTTATTTCTATAATATTCAGCAACCGCTATAGGGATTTCCTGGGTTTCTTCTGCGAGGCGTATTTGGAGTTTCAGCGCGAGAGCGCCCTCTGGCCTTCGGATGGAGGCGTATCACTGAAAGATACGCATGACAATCACAGCTTCTGCCTAATCGCGATTTATTGCCTTTGTGATTTAATTTCGATTAATCGTGCAGCCCTAATTTCATAGGGCCCTAAAAATGTAATGTTTGTTAAATTTTAATGTGTTAACATGTTTTTGTATTCCACCATTAAAATGGAATTCCGAAAACTTAAAACAGAAAAAAAATAAAGAATTCTGAAAGAAAACAAAAGAAAAAAATTTGGAAAAAATAAAACCCATTTTGTAGGGCTCTAAAAAAAAAAATTCTTAAAACTTTTATATTGTAATTCAATTGTATATGTTTTGTGATTACAATTAATTTTTATTTTTTATTTCTATAATTTAATTCACCCATTAACATGGAATCCAAAAAATTGAAATGGAAAAAACAAGATGAACAAAAAACAGAGATTGGGGGAAAAAATCAAATGTATTTCATAGGGCTCTAAAAGTGCCAAATATTTAGGGAGGGGAAAAGGCTCAATTATGAAGGCAGTTATAGATTGTCAGTGTTTTATATCAAATTTCCATTGATTTATAGAAACTGAGGGCTGAGAGTCGAGATAAGTGTCTGTGAAATCGGCAGCAGATGCAAGAGCTGAGTATTAAACGCTTCTCTGTGTCTCACTCTGCTTGTCTCTCAGGGAATGGCTCTTCATCAGAAGGTCTCCGGATCGGGTTCAGGTCCGGCTCAGTCCTTCCTGGCCCAGCAGAGACAGTGGACACAAGCCCGCAGAGGCCTGTCCCGCCTGCAGCCCAGATAAACCCAAACGCTGCACTCCTCTTTCAGCACTTTCTGTCTGTCTGTGATCGTCCTGCTGAGGACGGAGAGAGGATGCATTTTGTGTGTTGTTTTTAGTTGATCCAAACGTCAGTATGTAGTTGAGTTTTAGTGTCAGTTAGCGCCAGAATCGCATGAAAACTTTGAGTTTAATGAAGTCGATCAACCTTTGATTCTTTTAATGATGTTTTTAATGCTGTACGATAGGTTTGGGTGTTCATCAGGGTTACGGTGCGTGTGCACGCACTTTACACACTCGGTGCCTTCAGCTGTCAATCATCTCATCAGTGCGTCTGCTGTACGGAAACCAAACACTGGATGCTGGGAAGCTTTTAGTGCCACGAACAAACGAAGTGCATTTTTAATGATTTTTCCAAATCGGATGAAACGAGAGCTGCTGTTTTAAACGACACTAATCACGGATGAACCGCTGGAGGAGGCTGCTGCTTGACCGTTTTTACAGTGCTTGTTGTTTTTCTGATGTAAAAGTCAGCAAAGTCTGCCGCTGGTATTTATTGATTGTTCAAACACTACTGACTGTGAACACTGTGTTCAGTCCAGACGCTGAGCTTCGCTTGTGTGTTCTTCACTCTGAGTGTTTTGTGTTCATTAGTTGCACTCGGTCTGGACTGATGGGGACGCACAGAAATAAGTCACTTTAGTTTCCAAATCGGATGAAACGAGAGCTGCTGTTTTAAACGACACTAATCACGGATGAACCGCTGGAGGAGGCTGCTGCTTGACCGTTTTTACAGTGCTTGTTGTTTTTCTGATGTAAAAGTCAGCAAAGTCTGCCGCTGGTATTTATTGATTGTTCAAACACTACTGACTGTGAACACTGTGTTCAGTCCAGACGCTGAGCTTCGCTTGTGTGTTCTTCACTCTGAATGTTTTGTGTTCATTAGTTGCACTCGGTCTGGACTGATGGGGACGCACAGAAATAAGTCGCTTTAGTCTCACTGTTGTTCTCTTTGCACTACAATAAAAGAGATTCTTGGTACAAAAGTGATCAGAGCCGAGTTTGTGTCTCTGCTGTAAATGATGTGACACCACTGAGAAATGTGGTTTTATTATTAAACATAATGCACAAATCAGTCAAATGAATACGGGCTTTGACAACGCAAGTAATTTTATTGTTAGATGTGTTGTCTATGACTCCATGATTGCCTTAAAGATAATATTGAAAGATAATCATATTGAAATCATAACTTTATAGAACACTTTTAAAAGGTGAGAAATGAAATCGATACATACTTTATGGAAAGTACTGTTTATTACATTTAGTTTTTTATTTTGATCAAATTTAGCTAGATGAGTTAGTTTAACCTAATTCAATCGTTTGTAGTATTGTACTGTTATATGTATTAAATCATTTTATTTTAACCTATTTTATCTAATTTTTTTTCAATCAAATTGTATCTATTTTGTTTTCAATATTTGTCATTATTTCAATCAAATTTAGTTACATTAGTCAGTTTAATCTTTTGTCATTTATATATTTGTACATCTTTTACACTGATTCCCTAAACTAATCTAGTAAATGTGAGGACTAACTCATTTCTACCTCGGATGCAAGTAAAATCTTTGTCAAAACAATCTTTCTAAAATAATTCAATCATAATCCATAAAACACTCATGCGTTTCTGATACCAATTTTTTTTACTACTTCTGCTGCGGTAATTATTACACATGCTGCATTACCGTTTTCATGGATAATAAAACTGAAATAAGTCAAATAAACTACTTGGTTGTATAAACAATTTTCACGCAGAAATTGCTAATCGCAAATAACTACAAAGAAACGGCACAAGTAGCGCATTGAATTCAACAGAAATTCTGAAGCGGAAAGACTAAAACGGTATTTTCTTGTCAAATGCGTTCAAATAAACATAATATCTGTATGATGTATTTTCTGTGTTTTATTCCGTCACTGCTGTTTTTCCTCCGGCCTGCAGGCGGCAGCGGCGCTCCACTCAGCTCTTGGCCACTGGCCGCAGATGAAATGCAGTATGGCGGAGCGACGCTGAAATACAACAAACTGTGCGGAAAACATCGGGATAAAACCCCGAAACCCCGCCGAGTCCTCCCACGATCCGGTAGATCTGCGATTATAATCACACGCGGACCCGCGGCTCGATAATCGCGTTCGTCGCGACACTTTATGATCCCATAACAAGACAAACCAACGCATCACTCTTTGTTACGTTTAAAACACGAGTAATAATACGCGCTATAATAAAACAGAAGTGGATATAAAGGCTTTATTTATTATTACCAAGCAGTAAAACGATGGAGGAAAAGCAACATAAATCAGACAAACATCGCCACCATCACCAGTCCTCCAGCAGCGGCAGCAGCAGCGGGGAGTCCGGCGGCAGCAGCCCGGCTCACGGGGCGCCCAAAGCGGCCAACGCCTTCGCCAACGACGGCAGCTTCATGGAGCTGTTCAAGAAGAAGATGGAGGAGGAGGAGAGGAGGAAGAGAGAGACCGAGGAGGAGGAGGAGGAGGAGAAGACGAAGAGCTCTGCTGCGGCAGGCCAAGCGCCTCCGGACAAGAAGTCGTTTGGCGTGAGCAGCTTTGTAAGAACGGCGGCTCTGTTCGGGTCCCTGCCGCTTCCTAAAGCCCGTGTAACGCTGTCAGTCTGTTCCTGTTTGACTCAGGTGGGCAAGCGGAGAGGAGGCGCTCGACTGGCGCTCAAGACCGGGATGGTGGCCAAAAAACAGAAGCTCGACTCCGAGGTGAGAGATGCGCTGTCCGGTCATTATTTAATAACAGTTTAAATTATCTTGTTATTTGTATAAGAATTAGGGCTGCACGATAAATCGCATGCGATATTTAACGTGCATCTTATCAGTAAAGCCGAAGCCGGTTCTGTAATCAGCGGTAAATCTCCATCACCTGCGGGCTTTCACATTGAGCAGCATTAATCGTGCAGCCCTACTAAGAATGAAAAAAAAACAGTATTATTTTTATGGTGGTGTTATTTTATGGAGCAAATTCATACAGCACCTCTCACAATTTAAATCTTTCAACGGCTCTGGATTAGGGCTGGACTATATGGCCAAAATGTATACCACGATATATCGTTGATACGATATAATTCCGGTATCTATATGAACCGAGCGGCAACCTCCCGCTCTCTCTCCTGAAGCCAACACGGAAGTGACTTAAACTGTAATTCATCGACTGGCCGCTAGAGGCTGGCTGCAAAAGG